TAAATTACAAATTACTGTGGGCCAGGATTGGGCTGTATATTTGATTATCCCAGTGTAAATACTATCTCCCTTTATACTTGTGCATGTTTGTGGGTGTCTGTATGTTATAATTACTCCTGTTTTGCAGTGGAAGAGACTGGGGTTCAGGGAAGTTGGGCAGTTGTACTCATGGTTCCATAAAAATGACAGAGCAAGACTTGAAGCCAGTTCTTTCTGACTTCAGAAGCTACTACCTTGATTATTTGTTGTAACAAAATGTAACATTTCGTTGTACCTAACGTAACTCTCATTAAGACTTAAACTTGGTCTTAGTTTGTGTTATGGTTGTTCCTGTCGCATGTAAAGTCCATGTATTACCTGACTTTCAACTTTCTTTAGTAAGCCACTGTCTTGATTTATCATTAATGTTATTGTTGCTTAACCCATTTGGCTATATTTGAAGTAGAGTTTTTCAGTGTATTTTGGTTCTTGGATATAAATTTGAAATGCTGTTATAGCACTTACACTATAGCTGTAACACACATCATTTATAAGAGGTTTTTTTTTTTTACTTTTGAACTGTTTAAGGAACTGTGTAAGACTCACAAATATTTTCGTTCAGCTTAAAGTTTTTGCAAATTTGACTATTCTGCTTTTATTCAATATATTTCTGAGGTAAATCAACAAGTAATTTTTCCACATAGGAAAAAATACTGTTGCATTGGTGAAGGTGCCTGAGTATGAGATGCATTGGGAGCAGCCCTCCAGTAGCACCTTGATTTTGTATTCCAGGTGATAGATGTAAGAAATGACTAACATATGTATTTGTAAAACTAATAAGATACTTTCAAAGATGACTGTTCCAAGGTAATGCTGTTTTCTCAGGAGAGAGTAATACCGTTTCTTATCAATTACTGAAATCTTCTACATGTTTTCAAGTATCCAGTTAGAGCAAGTATAAGCCAGCTCTCCATTCTTACTGTACTGGCTTTCTTGTCAGTCAGCCCGAGTCACATTGCCATGGACATTGTTAGTATTATCTAGTTTCATATATATTAAATCAAGGTTTATAGAATTCATATTTATGGAACTTGACGTTTCAAAAATACTTTTTCTATATTCAAGGGAAAAGTATCTTTTAAATACCTTTTTTTTTTTTTAAAAGCCAGTCTCACAGTGTCACAGTCCTCTTGCCTCACTCAGCCTCCTGAGTCACTGGGATTAAAGGCACACATCATGGCACCTGGCCTTTATGGGGCTAAGCCTGGGCCTCCCGTGTGGTCCCAGGCTGTGGGGCACAGCATCTCAGCAGTATGCACCCCTGTGGCTGGGCCTTTAAATACTTCATGGTGTAATTTAGCCTTTGTTGAACTCAGCTTAAGGTTAATAAGATCTGTTGAGAAGTTGATTGAGTCCACCTTCCATTCCCATTGCCCTTCAGAACCTCTGTAGAGTTACTTGAATGTGTGTCTGAGGAGGGCTTTTGTTAAAAGGGTAATTGTCTTAATCTATTTCAGTTTATATAACAAAATGCTTTAGATTGGATTAGTTAAAAAAACCAGCAGAAATGTATCTCTCACAATTCTGGGGGCTGAGAGTCTAAGATCAAGGCGCTAATAGATTTGGTGTCTGGTACAGGCTTTCCGTCTGCTTCAAAAATGGCACCCTGTTGTTGCACCCTAACGTGGCGGAAGAGACGAACACTGCAAACAGAGTGAGAGGGAAGGAGCTCAGAAGCTTTCACCAGCCTCCTTTACAAGGGTGCTGCTTCAGGCCCCGAGTGCTCCCAAAATACCCAGATCCTAATACCACCATGATGGGAATTCAGTCTTTGCATGAATTTCAGAGGGAAGCAATCATTCAGACCATAGCAGTAATTAACTCTCCAAATTCAGTGCTTCCTATAAGCCTTCTTGACTTGGTCAGGTATTTAATTGTTATTTGTTAGCATACTAAAAAAATACATATATTTTTAAGTTTTTTTTTCTTGCCATAGGATGTGTGTGCTCACCAGAGAGAGACAGAGAAGGGGAAAGTGAGAAATCACTCCCTGTGAGGATAGACATACCTCAGTCTATTCTCCTCTTGGGAATTTGGGCACATATACACACACGCCTGGCGTGATTTTCAAGCTGCCAGGTCTGGTTCTCACGCTGCAGTCAAACATGTGAGAATTCAGCTCCTTAACCTCTACGTCACCTGCTGCCCCCGCTTACTAAAATTCTAAGAACAAGAACATTCCTCCTTTTTATTTATTTATTTATTTATTTTAAGAGAGAGATTTTTGCTATAGGTCGTGTGTGCTTGCTGGAGAGACAAAGACAGAATGCAAGAAATCACCCCTCAGGGGATGGCCACACCACAATCCCCTCTCCTCCACTCTCCTCTCAGGATCTTCAGCGCGCATGCACATTCTCCTGGTGTGAGTTTCAAGCCGCCAGATCCAGGACTTGAATCACAGTTGACTACATGGGAATCCAGTGATGCAACCGTTACACCATCTACTGGTCCCAGAACAGTACGCTTTTAAAACCACCATATAATAAATATTAAATGAAATGTTAATTAGATTTTTGATCAGGGTATTTTGGATCTCTGTCTTTTAAAATAAGGTTTTCTTTAAATGAGAAACAGCACTTTATTTTGCTAAGGGTTTTCTTAATTACTATTCTACAGAATTAAGTTACAATGAGTTAACAGTACTTGGGCTCACCCCCACTAAGCAGATAACCTCATTACGAGGTCAGCATGATGGTCCAGCCTTAAAGCAGTGCTCTGCGATACTGAGGCCAGGTAGGAAGGTCCTGTACATGCCGGGCATGTGTGTGCCATGATCCTGGAGTGGATCAGGGCATGCGGATCCTGTGTGGGGTGGTTTTTATGCCTCTGTCTCTCACACATGCACTCTCTCATGGAAAAAAACTTTTTTTTTTAATATTTGGAGCTTATTACAGGTAATACCTTCATAATAATTGCTAATATTTGGGAGAGAGTAAAAAGGGAGGTATGAAAGATAAGAGGATATTTTTCTCATAGTGGGGTTAAAGGAGAATTTCTCTTTTTTAAGTATATAACTTAATGGCCTGGAAACTAGAAAGCTCTAAGAGGACAGTGGCCACATGAAATAATTTCTGCAGTCCCCTATTCATTTCTTTTTTCTTAGAATTCTCCTGATCCTTTTTATCTTTACATAGCTAGTCACTCAGTTGTACATTATATTATTCTTGGTTTTGACATGTGTGAAAAGGTATGAGCATTTTCCATTGAAAACTACTAAATCTTTTGTTTAAAAAAAATGTTTTCTTGAATTTAATTAGTGAGTTGAATTGAATTATAGTCAATGTATATTATCTAGATTTTAGTAAATTTTTCTACAGTTTATTTTCATGCTTGCCTATATTATTGAATTGCCATTTTAACATGTATTTTGTATTTACTGAATATATAGTATCAAATTAAGAAAGATAGTTTATGTGCTTACATGTTTGTGTTTTCCTTATGCTTAGTTTATGTCAGCATTTAAAACCAGATTGTTTTGTTTTGCTTTGCTGTAGAGCCATGTGTCAGAGAGACACAGAGAGACAGAGAGAGGAGTGAGAAAGCACCCTTCTGGTGGGGGGAGATATGACCACACCAAAATCCTTCTCTTTTCTCCTCTTGGGATTTGGGGCACACACCCACACACACATACACACAACACACACACCTGGCATGGCATGTTCTTCAAGCCAATGGGACCAGGAATCTAACCATGTAGTTAGTTAGCCATGTGGGATCCAGTTACCTCCACCACTGCACCACCTCGTGGGCCAAAAACCAAAAAAATTTTAAATCAGATCTGTAACTGTTATGTTGAAGAGGTGAGGTTAATGTAGCTCTGATAAAACTAACAGAAAACTAAAACAAGGAATCTTGTCTTTAATGACTAGGTATTTGAAACTATGAGCATAATTATCATTACTCTATTCTTGTAATTTTTATAATTTTTCATTCCAAGAAGCTTAAAATTAAAACTTCCCATCTTGAAATAACAGTTCAGTGAGAAAGAGGGGGGAGAAGGATTATATTCTCTTTGATATTTATTTATTTACTTTGTACTTGGCATATTTCTTTTTTATTCCCACAGCAAACTGAAGAGGTATAGAATGTCTCAAATTAACAGATACACTGGGTGTAAGATGACAGAGATCAGAAATCATAGTGTTTTTCATAGACCCTGGCTGATGATGGTTTCTCTGTGTTCTGTGCCCTGATGAGGCTTCTCTAATTGCTGAGGTAGCTTAGGAAAATGAAACAGTTTTAAAAGTAGGTAAAATAATTGAATGATTAGCAATACATTATGGCATAGTGCTGCTGTTAATAGTAAGTTTTGTCAAAGGAAATAGCTACATTGGTAATTTTGGAATTTTTCAAACCTGTAGAAAAGTTAAAACAATGAAAGTACTAAGATCCTGTACCCACTAACTAGATTCACAAATAAACATTTTTCCATTGCACTCTCTTCACACACACACACACACACACACACACACACAGTTTTTTCTAAACCATGTGAAGGTAAGTTTCAAATACCATGCCCTTGATCTCTACCTTAAATAATTGAAAATGAATTTGTTAAAAATAGGATGGATTGTCCTTATAACTGTTATCATACCTAAGAAGTTTGACATTTATTCAGTAATACTATTAAATAATCATTTTACATTCCCCTAGTTTTCCTAAATCATCTTACTGGTTTTTTTTTTTTTTTCTATGTCCATCTCTTTTACTTGTACATTTTTTATTAATGCTTTTAACTTTTCTGGAGTCCTAGTCATTTTCTTTAGACTGTCTCACATTCTAAATTTGTTCAGTTGTTTCTGAGGATTCAATTTTACTGAATTTATTGTGTTAAACATTTTTTACATGATAATCACATCTCTGATGTTGTTTACTTCTCTTTATATCATATGATCCAGAAAATTGTACTTGGCAACAACACAGACTTAATTGCCCGAATTGTTTTGTTATTTTTCAAACAGACGACAACTGAACGACCTTTCATTCAGAAGCTGTTCCGTCCTGTGGCTGCAGATGGACAGTTGCACACGCTAGGAGATCTCCTCAGAGAAGTTTGTCCTTCTGCAATTGCTCCTGAAGGTACACGACAACTTAAACGGTTCTTTCATCTCCTGTTCTAAACTTGCTACTGAGATAAGAAAGAATTCTGCTTTTATAAATAACACTTTCTGGTCATTTTAGGAAGCTATTTCTAGATATTTTGTTATCTTGCAGGGAATAATCTTTTGGAATGAATAAACACTTAATATTTTATAAATTATGGACACTGACAAAATAAGGAATTTGGCAACATAAAATGCACTTTTTTTTTAAATTACCTTCTTACCACATTTCAGGTGTTCTGGGTCTTTAATTTGTGAATTCAGTCCTGGTAAATATTATTTTTAATCTTATATTTTGTTTCTTAATCATAAAGAAGTCAGAGATGATAAAACAACTTTTTTTGATCTTTGGTTGATATTCAAAAGTGCAAAATACTGAAGAGTGAATAGCTATTTTATTTGAATTTTCTAGTTGGTTAGTTGTTTTTTAGTACACATTGTTCTCTTAGGCTTTGACACTATGTAAGTCCAGTCACCAACTTGTCTTGTTGAATGGTCCTCATTTTGCAAATTAGTTAAAGTTCTTTTTTCCTGCAGACAAAAGAAAAAATATAAAAAGAGCTAGGTTGTATTTTTTCTCTATTATAACATAAGGAGCACTAAGACAATGGAGAAAACAAAAAAAGAAAAGTAGTGTTCATAAACCGTAACTCACAGCACTGTTGATGCTCATATGCATTTATACACTTGAGTAGTTGAGGTGTGTGTGCACAAGTGTGTATATAAACATCTGCTTTTTTCACATACATATATGTGGTCGAGGGGTGTGTGTATGTGCACATGCTTGAGGCACATGCATATATAAACATCCCACTACTTTTTTTCACACTCTTCCTTGCCCTGTTACTGGGATCCCTGACCTACTGTTGTGATTACTATAGGGGACATTTCAGCAGCATATTACTGAGTTTATTAATGCATTGCATGGACCCGTATTTAAACTTACTACTTTAATTTTTTTTTTTTAATAGAGATTTTTGCTATAGGGTATGTGTACTCACCAGAGAGACAGCAAACAAGAAGTCACCCCCCTCCCCCGCACAGGGAGAGGTGGGTATGGCCGTGCCACAGTCCCTTCTACTCCATTCTCCTCTCAGGATCTTGGGCACACATGCACACATGCCCAGCCCGAGTTATAAGTCGCCAGGTCCAGGACTCAAACCATGGTCAACTATGTGGGAGTCCAGCATTGTAATCATTTCACCATCTGCTGGTCCCAACTACTTTAAATTCTTAGTGGAAATAATTAAAGCGCTAATCAGTATAAAGGAATACTTTGATAATACTGATTCTGTTATTGACATGTTCTAAACTGGGAGATTATTTACATGACCTGTAGCTATACTACCTAGTTTAAGAAGCATATACGATTAAAAAAAAAAAAGAAGCATATACGATAGACTCTAAGGAAATGGTTTGCTTAAGAAGTAGAATTAGAAACAGAATGGATGTGTCATCTGGTTTGTGAAAATAAGTTTTGTTTAGTCACATATGCTTGCTTATCCCAGCATTGCTCTGTGTATTTGGTACTTCTGAAATGAACAAAGGCTTAGTCGGAAGGAGAAGGCTATCTACCAAGTCTACTGTATCTTTAGTCTTCACTAAACTTTGCTAGATATATAGTCAAGGTTTCTGATGGTGTCTTACACACATCCTTTTAGCTCTAATGCTAGGCAGAATATTTGCTGAACATTTCAACTACTGAATTCTTTTTTTTCTTTGTATCACTAGTTCCCTGAAACATTTTATTTATGGTCATTAAAACACGAAGTAATACGGCTCCTTCTGTGACCCAGTGGTTAAGGGAGCTGCATCCTACATGGCCGACTTCAGTCTGAGTCCCAACCCCAGTGGCTTGATAAATTGAGGGCATACATTTCCGAAATCCTAATGCAATAGAGAAATGAAGAAGAGGTTGCACCATGGCTATGAGCCGTGGCGGGGGGGGGAGGGGGGTGCTTTCTTCTTCTCCCTTTCTCTCTTTGTGTGTCTCTGGCTCTGTCTGGTGAGCAGGTGCATCTTCTAAAAAGAGAAAAGAATAATCATGGAGTAATTGAGATTAATTACTGTCTAAGACTACTAAGCCATCTTTATGCTGTACAATTTTAATTTTCAATAGGAGTTTTTAGTAAATTTAGAGAGTTGTGTAACCATCATCACAATTTTAGATTTTAGAATATTTCTGTCTCCTCAGAAAGCCCTCTTGGTCTTGTGTACAACTAGTGCCTGCTCTCACTGGCAACCATGAATAAGCACTGGACTGCCTTCTATCCCTGTAATTTCCTTTTTTGAAGTTTTCGCATAAATGAAATCAAACAGTATATAGTCTTTTGCAACTGTTTTTTTTTTTTTAATTTAGTATAATGTTTTGAGTTTTGGCCATATTACAGCAAATATTACAGTAGTTTTTCCTGTTTATTGGTGAATAGTATTCCACTGGGTGGATCTGTCACGTTTTGTTTATTCATTTACCAATTGGTGCATTGGATCCTTTCTGGCTCTTCACTTTTAAGAGCAGTGCTGCTGTGAACAGTCACATATGGGTCTTTGTATGGGCATGTGCTTTCCGATCCCTTGGGTGGATTCTGGGAAATGGAAATAACAGGGTCATATGGTTAGTTTAGTTTTTAAGAAACTAAGCTTGGTTGAGTTTTTGAAGAAACTGTGTTTTGCAGCATGGCTGTACCATTACAGTTCTATCAGCATTGGATGAGGGTACCAGTCTCTTCACATCCTCACCAGTGTGCCTAATTCATCATCATTATTATTATTATAGCCATCCTAATGATTTTGCAGTGTTATCTCATAGTGAGTTTAATTTGCATTTCTCTGATGACTGATGGTTGTGGGGGTGTTTTTATATGTTTATTATGATTTGTGGATACCTTTGAATAACCTATTCAGATCTTTTTCTCATTTCTTTGTAGATTATTTTGTCTTACTGTTGAGTTTTGAGAGAATTTATATATTTACATCTTTTGGATACAAGTTCTTTATCAGATATATGATTTGCAAATACTGTCTCCTATTGTGTGGCTTGTCTCTTTTTTTTGTAAGAATAAAAATGGAGATTATTTACATGACCTGTAGCTATACTACCTAGTTTAAGAAGCATATACGATTAAAAAAAAAAAAGAAGCATATACGATAGACTCTAAGGAAATGGTTTGCTTAAGAAGTAGAATTAGAAACAGAATGGATGTGTCATCTGGTTTGTGAAAATAAGTTTTGTTTAGTCACATATGCTTGCTTATCCCAGCATTGCTCTGTGTATTTGGTACTTCTGAAATGAACAAAGGCTTAGTCGGAAGGAGAAGGCTATCTACCAAGTCTACTGTATCTTTAGTCTTCACTAAACTTTGCTAGATATATAGTCAAGGTTTCTGATGGTGTCTTACACACATCCTTTTAGCTCTAATGCTAGGCAGAATATTTGCTGAACATTTCAACTACTGAATTCTTTTTTTTCTTTGTATCACTAGTTCCCTGAAACATTTTATTTATGGTCATTAAAACACGAAGTAATACGGCTCCTTCTGTGACCCAGTGGTTAAGGGAGCTGCATCCTACATGGCCGACTTCAGTCTGAGTCCCAACCCCAGTGGCTTGATAAATTGAGGGCATACATTTCCGAAATCCTAATGCAATAGAGAAATGAAGAAGAGGTTGCACCATGGCTATGAGCCGTGGCGGGGGGGGGAGGGGGGTGCTTTCTTCTTCTCCCTTTCTCTCTTTGTGTGTCTCTGGCTCTGTCTGGTGAGCAGGTGCATCTTCTAAAAAGAGAAAAGAATAATCATGGAGTAATTGAGATTAATTACTGTCTAAGACTACTAAGCCATCTTTATGCTGTACAATTTTAATTTTCAATAGGAGTTTTTAGTAAATTTAGAGAGTTGTGTAACCATCATCACAATTTTAGATTTTAGAATATTTCTGTCTCCTCAGAAAGCCCTCTTGGTCTTGTGTACAACTAGTGCCTGCTCTCACTGGCAACCATGAATAAGCACTGGACTGCCTTCTATCCCTGTAATTTCCTTTTTTGAAGTTTTCGCATAAATGAAATCAAACAGTATATAGTCTTTTGCAACTGTTTTTTTTTTTTTAATTTAGTATAATGTTTTGAGTTTTGGCCATATTACAGCAAATATTACAGTAGTTTTTCCTGTTTATTGGTGAATAGTATTCCACTGGGTGGATCTGTCACGTTTTGTTTATTCATTTACCAATTGGTGCATTGGATCCTTTCTGGCTCTTCACTTTTAAGAGCAGTGCTGCTGTGAACAGTCACATATGGGTCTTTGTATGGGCATGTGCTTTCCGATCCCTTGGGTGGATTCTGGGAAATGGAAATAACAGGGTCATATGGTTAGTTTAGTTTTTAAGAAACTAAGCTTGGTTGAGTTTTTGAAGAAACTGTGTTTTGCAGCATGGCTGTACCATTACAGTTCTATCAGCATTGGATGAGGGTACCAGTCTCTTCACATCCTCACCAGTGTGCCTAATTCATCATCATTATTATTATTATAGCCATCCTAATGATTTTGCAGTGTTATCTCATAGTGAGTTTAATTTGCATTTCTCTGATGACTGATGGTTGTGGGGGTGTTTTTATATGTTTATTATGATTTGTGGATACCTTTGAATAACCTATTCAGATCTTTTTCTCATTTCTTTGTAGATTATTTTGTCTTACTGTTGAGTTTTGAGAGAATTTATATATTTACATCTTTTGGATACAAGTTCTTTATCAGATATATGATTTGCAAATACTGTCTCCTATTGTGTGGCTTGTCTCTTTTTTTTGTAAGAATAAAAATATTTGGGCCAGCCCTTGGCATGGTGATTAAGGCAGCTGGATCTCACACCTGGCGGCTTGAAAAACACACCAGGCACGTGTAAGCGCCCAATTCTGAGGAGAGACTGAAAGAGAAGGGATTGTGGCATGGCTATCTCCCCAGGGGGTTATTTCTCTCTCTC